TGCTTTTTGAACATCTCGATACGATCATTTTTGACGAAGTTACACTCTCTTGAATTTTGCCTATTTTTAGAGGGTAGAGTAAGTGATGCTTTAATTTTGTTGAGAAGTGTATTATTAAAAGAATTTAAAAAAAATTTTAATGTCAAAACGTTTTGACTGCACGGAGTCTTTTTCAATTGATATAAATTAATATATAAATAAATAAAAAATATTAATAAAATAAATTAACCATTTAAATAAATTAATAAAAAATTCATAGAAGTAATTCAGTCAATAATAAAATTCGGATAGCCTAAAACAATGAACGCTGTATAAAGTTTTGTCGCATATTAAACTCGCAATTATTTGTTCGCGTACAGATACAATAGCACGGCTTATGTTGCAATGTTTCACTCAGAGAAGGTACAACATGCACCGTGCTATTGTATACAAACGAATAATTGCGAGTTTAACATGCGACAAAACTTTATACAGCGTTCATTGTTTTAGATTTTCTGAATTTTATTATTGACTGAATTGCTTCTATGAATTTTTTATTAATTTATTATTTAAATGGTTAATTAATTTTATTGATGTTTTTTATTTATTTATGTATTAATTTATAACAACTAAAAAAGACTCGATGCAGTCAAAACGTTTTGACATTCAAATTTTGTTATAATTCTTTTAATAATACTATGACTTAATGATTTCATGTCACGGCACACCTTACTCATTCCTTGGCAAAATCTAAATTTCTTACTAATTTTTTTAAACACGAGTTAGTGAATGAGTTTCTAATTTTATCTACATTCTACTTTTTTTGTATCGTGATGATATCATATATTGTTCTCCGTGTTACATTTTTCAGGATGACATTTACCAATGGGTTAGAGATCACCGCGTGCACCACAAATTCATTGACACCGACGCGGATCCATATAACGCGAGAAGAGGATTCTTCTTCTCGCACGTAGGTTGGCTTCTAATACGTAAGCATCCTGATGTTACGCTCAAAGGTGCAACGGTCGATTGCAGTGATCTCAAGCAAGATCCATTCGTGATGTTTCAAAAAAAGTACGTCACATCTTGTTTCTGCGGGAACAAGATCGAGCCAATTAAACATAAAATTGATTTAATTGGTCCTACTCAATGTTATTTTGCATTCGCATCTTCTTCCTCAGGTGGTATCTGTATATGATGTTGTCTTGCTCTTTTATTATACCAGCATTAGTACCTTGGTGGTTGTGGGATGAGAGTTTGTGGTATTCGTGGCATCTTGCAATCTTCAGATATTGCGTAAATCTGAATGCTACTTGGTCGGTAAATTCCGTGGCTCACATATGGGGTATGAGACCATACGACAAGTACGTATTCGTATTATTTTTGAGTTGTCAAATATACATGTATCTACGTTTATACGCAGGGTGTCTCCGATCACTTACAATCGGAACACACTACCAGATTAAGTATTTTATCTCGAATCTATCGAGTCTAATAATTTGTTGATTCGCAGTGTAGTTAATTAATAAACTATTTTTTAAAATTAATTAAATTAATAAAAATTTTTTAAATTAATTTTATAATAAATAACAATAATTTCTTTCAATATTAGTAATACATAGAATACTTTGAAACACAGTAAATGACACAGATCAAAAATTTTTATATACATACTAATATTGTAAGAAATTATTGTTATTTATTATAAAATTAATTTTAAAAAACAGTTTATTAATTAACTACGCTGCAGATCAATAAATTATTAGACTCTATAGATTCGGGATGAAACGCTTAATCTGATAGTGTGTTCTGATTGCGGGTGACACTCTGTATAAAACTATTAAGAATAATAAAATATTTACAATAGTCTCTATATATTATGTTATGATATATAATATTGTTGTTACTTAGAAATATTTATTTTATTACGCAGGTCACTCAGTTCTACCAACAATAGTGGAGTTGCTATAGTAACGTTAGGCGAAGGTTGGCATAACTATCATCACGTCTTTCCTTGGGATTATAAATCAGCGGAATTTGGAAATTATGGACTCAATCTTACTACAGCTTTCATTGACTTTTTCGCTTATTTGGGCATGGCTTATGACTTGAAGACCGTACCTGCTGATGTGATAAAGAAACGTGTTCTTCGAAATGGCGAGACACATGATAATAAATCTAGCAGTTATATAAATTAAAATATACAGGCAATTATTTTCCATTCAAAACTAATTTTTAAAAAGAAAGGTGTGTAAAGAAAAATTTACTTTATATTTCTTGCTTATTTAATATAGAATGTTGCTTTTTAATATAGAATGTTGTGCGGTGAGGACACAAGAGGATCCGACGGGACTCCGCAGGGGAACGGGATTTCAATAAATTTTGTCACTCCGACACTTAATTTTCACTAAATAAACAGACTTTAATTTCACTTTGCTTTACAAACTTATTATGTCATACACCTTCACTTTATTACTTTTAATTTAGCTCTGCGTGTTACGTGCTAAATTACTCGCCAAGTCGGACGTAAAGGCTGACCGCCCGCGGCTTATCGTTGCGCGTACTTATGCTCTACGCGTTGCCGCGTCAGCGTTAAGTATTTCGGATATCGCCATTGCGTTTTTCCCAATCAACACACAATATTTTTTAAATGTTTTCTTAATGTTTTTTTTCATTAATTATTCATTTCCGAAATGCAGGAAATGAATAATTAATGAAAAAAAACATTAAATGAAGAAAACATTTAAAAAATATTGTGTGTTGATTGGGAAAAACGCAATGGCGATATTCGAAATACTTAACGCTGACGCGGCAATGCGTAGAGCATAAGTACGCAAAAACTAAAAAAAAAAAAAACGTTTTTTAAACGTTTATTTAATATTTTTTAAATATTTATTTAACGTTAATTTTACATTTAAAATAATGATTTGAGTATACATTTTTTAAACGTCTACTCAATATTTTTTAAATATTTATTTAACATTAATTTTACATTTAAAATAATGTATTGAGTATACATTTTTTAAACGTTTATTTAATATTTTTTAAATAT